TTAGGCACTGTGGAGAAGAGAAACTATAAGCGTTTATCTCCGTCGACGATTCCGCCATTGTTATACCATTGCCTTAGCTCGAAAACTTGTAACCTTCTTCCTCGTCCCAGTCTCTACATTTCCGTCTCGCGGAATCTTCGAATTCACCGATTCCGCCACTCCTTCCTCGATCTCCGTCGTAAAATGGAACCGACGGAATTGCCGTTGGAGCCGGAGTTTCAATCTGGAGAGGACTTCGTTCACGTCGATGATCCCAACCCTCACGGATATATTTCGTTAAGCGAAAGCATAGTGAATGTGGAGAAGGAGGAGCTGCTCGTGGAAGGTGAGGAGGAAGAACATAGCAGCAGCGATTCCAGTTCAGTGATAACCGGCGACGATTCGATCGTTTATTCTGGTGATATTGGTGAAGATGATATCTGCGGCGGAGCGGAATTTGTTGAGCGTTCGGTGGAGACGACGAAACTAGAGCTGCCTGAGGAATTGGCGAAAAGCGTTATGGTTCTAACTTGCGAGTCCACAGAGGAAGGCGGATCTTGTGATGTGTACTTGATTGGTACTGCTCATGTATCACAGGTAATCCTCGTTTGTGGTTCCAAAATCAGAAATTGAAACTGGAATTGGTTACTGATTCTGTAATTTGTGGAAGTGTTGCTTAAAGGATTGTGAATTGTTCAAAGATTTTGGTAGGCATTGCATTAAGAGTTTGTATTATGTTTGCACTTTGTGTAACAAGTTTCAGAATCTATAGGATTAGTCAGAAACTTGTGATTGGCCTCATTGTTTGTGATCCTTTTCCAAGACTTCAGAAAGTGTTGCTTTAACCCATTCATTGGATTGTTTGCAATTGTTTTATAGGAATCCTGTCGAGAAGTTGAAGCTGTAGTCAGCTACTTGAAACCACAGGTTCTGATCTCCTTTACAGACTATTTGAGGGCTGAGGTTTTATATCTTTCTGTCTTTATCTGCCTCTAAGTACCTGGCTGATGATTGCAGGTCGTCTTCGTGGAGCTGTGTCCAAGTCGATTGTCTATTCTCAAACCTCAGACTTTGAAGGTTTTTGCTTTACACAATCCCATTTCCCATTCAGTTTATTTCTTAGCATTTTTAGGCTATCAACAACGTGGTATCCTGGGAAAGATTGTGCATGTGTATCATGTTTACTTGTTTTGTATGCGATGATATCTCACACTTATCTCTCACACGCTTTAGTAGTAGGCGGCATCCCCTCTTAGTTTTGAGTAGGTGGAACCATTCAGTTTTCCTACCTCTTCTATCCATTTTCTTTATTCTGGAAATGTGGGATGTTTTGGTTTTCTAGGTTCCACTTCCAACCATGGCGGAAATGCTAGACATGTGGAAGAAGAACCACAACCCATTTGGAATACTTTACGGATGGTTTCTTGCACATGTATGTTTCCTCGGTTAATATTTGATTGTAGCTAAAACTTTCACACCAATAAATTAACATCCTCTTCTTCTGTTAGATCGCCAGTAAGCTTGAGGTTTTTCCTGGCGCTGAGTTTCGAGTGGCATATGAAGAGGCAAACAAATATGGTGGCAAGGTGATTCTTGGTGATCGTCCAGTACAGGTGACTTTGCTGATTCAAGAATATTTATTCATAGTTTTAAGCCTTTCGTTAAGGTCTGTTTCTGCTTTTAGTCGGTATATCGAGTGATTAATCACTTTCTTATCTGTATGTTGAAACAGATCACATTACAGAGAACCTGGTCTAAGATGCCTCTATGGCACAAAGTAAAATTTGTGTACAGCATGATGTTTCAAGCTGTCTTTCTGCCAAAACCTGAGGAAATTGAGAAGATGGTAAAAGTCTTTGCTTCCTTTTTTTTTTTCCGTTTTCTCTTTTAAAACTTATGTGATTCAGGATCAGTGTAAATATCGAGTAACGATTAAATTAAATGGCTTTAGCTGAAAGACATGAACGATGTGGATATGCTGACATTGTTGATTCAAGAAATGAGCAAGGAATTTCCATCTCTCATGGATACACTTGTGCATGAGCGCGATAAGTTAGTACTCTATTCCTCTGTATATATAGTCTATCACTTAATTGAAAACTTAACATTATATCAGCACTTATGTTGAATTTAGTGCGTAATGTACATCGAAAAGTCATCGACTTTGGTATCCAGATTTGATCCTGATATATTTTTGCATTATATCTCTTAGGTACATGTCGTGTATGTTGTTGAGAGTTGCAAGTGAGCATAGCTCGGTCGTGGCAGTTGTCGGTAGAGGGCATCTTCAAGGGATCAAGAGGAACTGGAACCAACCTATAAAGGTTTGTAACAATCTTTTTTCTTGTACTCGAATTCGTTATACATTTTTGGTTAAAGAACAACGCAAATGAACAAATACTTTGATGGTATTTTGCAGATGAAGGATCTGTTGGAGATACCGACAAATCAATCATTTTTTACTGTAAAGAATGTTCTGAAATCTCTGGCGATTGCAGTCGCCGGGACAGCCATAGTTTCCGGCATATATCTTGCAAAGAGAAGTTAAACCATCTCAAGGTAGAGAGAGAGAGTTTCTCATGGGGAAAAGGACAATATAAAAGTAGGCGAAATAACAGATGATATATACTACATAATAAATTGTTAGAAATACATGTTTTGTGTTCTTAAGACATATTTTATTATTAATTTAGGATTATGATCGGTTAAGAACCAATTTTGTGTTCTTAAGTTTCAATGGTGAAACATATTTTGTGTTCTTAACAAAATTAAAAATATTAAAAAAACATAGAAACATAGATGACATTTTCTTACATTTTCTGCAGAGAGACAACAAGTAAAGTCAATCAAGAGTGGTTCTTGTTAGCTGAATATGAAGAGCAAAATTTCTGAAATTTGATCGTAACTTGACAAGCTGTTTAGCTAATCTCCGAACATTGTTCGATGGATGCTTCCGAACTCGATTCACATGCCTTCCAATATCAGTTTCCTAAAGTTACCAAAATACCATAACAATTTCAACAATCATCAACAATTGAAAGAATCAAATAGTTCATGATTCAAGTTACCTGAAGAGCTTGGAATGTTATATCCATATCCTCCAGATTCTGAAGCAACTCAACCAAAGCTTCTTCAGACTAAAACACAACACAGACACAAACAAACAATTCTGTCTTCAAAACTGAAATCGAACACAAATCAAACAAACTTAGTTAGAAAGAACCAGATCAGGATCTTCAAGTCTCTCCTTGATTTCAAGAATACTCTTCTGCTCATCATCAAACAAACCAGCAAACGGATCGAAATCATCATCATCTTCGCCATTAGCCGAT